TCATGGTTTGTTAGGTCTGTCAGCAAGACACCAGGACAACAACTTCTAAAATGTTTGTTTTCTGAATGGAGTTGGGATCGATCAGGGCTATTCTATGCTAACTTGGTCACAGTAAAGTACAATGATAGCTGGAATTAAGTTACATACACATGTTTTCTGAACTCACCAGGTAGCTCAACCTCCTCGCTTTTTTTCTCCCAGCAATGTCCAATTTTATATAAATATGTAGTAGTGCCAAACAAGGCTAACAACACTGGAACCGGATGTGCATGGAATCTGCTGCTGAGAAGCTCAAGTGAAGATAAATCAACGTTGTAATCCCAAAAACTAAAGTTAAAAGCTCTTTTAATAAAAGTACTTTACTCCTCCCTCCTCCCTCGAGCAAACGGCATAGTTATCCGTGCATAATCCAGTCCGACCACGGGTGTTTATTTGTCCAAAAGCTGGTTCACTGCTCCCTGCTCCTCTAGCCCAAGTTTAGCAGCTCTCAGCCGGCCAGCAGATTTTCAATCACCCGCCATGCCTTGCCCTCTCCACACAGCACTCTGAAGCTGTCGGTGACGTACAGACAATCTCAACGTTGATAGGCTTTCGCAACTCAGCGCCATGCGGATATCTCGCTTGAGTTGAAAATATTCAACTCACGCAAATTCCTTCGCGTTGCCTTCGCTTCGCCTACATAATGGACACTATTGTTTCTATATGACAACATAAAATACAGCAGATTAGTGCTGAATGCGGAATGAGGATGCTTTTGATAATACAGACTGATAATTTGACATCAGCAGCTGTTTGCAGTGTTTTGTCACAATTATAGGAGCTACATAGGTGTGATTGGCAATATCTTAATAATCATGTACGCACAATCATCCACTGGCCCCCAACTCAACTAATTATTTTGTCAGATTTATCCCACCTCTACCGGTCCTTTTAACTTTCCAGGTGATTTATTTATTGTGTTGAGGTTATTTCCAAGTTACTTCCAAAATGTAATCATAATGTAAGAGTAATTAATCCATCCATCGTCAACTGCTTATCCTGCGTACAGTCTGGAGCCAATCCCAGCTGACATCGGGCGCAAGACGGGGTACCTGGACAGGTTGCCAGTCCATCGCAGGGCCACACATAGACGAACAACCACTCACGTTCACACCTAAGGACAATTTAGGGTAACCAATCAGCCTAGCCTGCATGTTTTTGGATGGTGGGAGGAAGCCGGAGCACCCGGAAAGAACCCACGCAGACACGGGGAGAACATGCAAACTCCACACAGACAGGCCGGGGCAACCGGGGTTTGAACCCACAACCTTCTTGCTGTGAGGCGACAGTGCTAATCACACACCACCGTGCCGCCCAAGAGTAATTAAGTACATTATAAAATCAATAATAATAATTATATTATTCTCTGAATTGTAATGCTTTACACTACTTTTACTTAGAGTTACTTTCACTGATATTTAATGGGTGTATTATTCTGATAGTAAGATGTGCTGCATAGGTGGGTTCTAGTTATGTGCAGCGGTATGTCCGCGGATAGGTGGGCCTTTGTCATAAAAATGAAATGAAATAGTATGAATCATCTTTCCATTAACAAAGATGCTGTGCGCAATTACGCGTGAGGTCCAGCTCCCCTGTAGTTTGCACCCACAACGTTGACCATCGGATTCCCGCAACAGGAAATAACGTTACTCTTTTACTCATGGATTTGTTTTTCTGGTGCCAAAATGTTTCTAGGTGTTGTTGAATTATTATAAAAAAAAAAAATCACTTAATTTCGGGTTAAAATTAGTTGTAATGTGCGTTACTGAGATTGTAAAGGGTAAAATATTACTGCTTTATAGTGATGTCTATGAAGATTCTCAGTCATCCAGGTCATAGTTATCCAACGAAGGTTAAAGTCAAGGGCAACAGTATATGTATATATATATATATATATATATATATATATATATATATATAGTGGACCTAAATTTATTAGTTATGAATTTTAATAAATTTATGAGAATTGATACCCAATTATGAATTATTATTCATAAAATCATTTTTCCTCGTTAAGGGCACCACCGGAGTTGTTATAATCCTAGAGTCTCCGGACCTCTAGGTAGTTTTGAATAATTATACAATTATTACTAGTGATCAGTTAATTAATAATCGCTCAATTATCTTAAATCAGTCAGTCAGTCTCATATCTAAAGGGTCAATTCTCTTGGCAGGAACTATAAATAGGCAACACACACAGCTCTTGATTATATTATAGTGAATTTATTCTCTAACTAAGGTGATAAAAAGATGGTTGGATACAGGGAACATAAACATTTGCTGAACAATGAGCCTGGAGGTTCGATTGTGGGAAGCATTCGACTCATACAGCATAGAAGAGCTAATGAAAGTAAACTAATGCTATGAGTTTAGGAGTTAAAATGGACATCTGATCACAGGACGTGTGTTAAATCTTACTGCTTGTCGACAGCCTGCTTTTGGCCTGTTGCACGGGTCCCACGCTAGCTGCCAATCCTGGCTTTTTGCTAGGGATTGTCCGGGGTTCTCCGTGTCTGATTGAAAACGCCTCCTCCGTCTGGCAATTCGGCTGTTTGCAGGTTTCCTTTGTTGCAGTTGGCGAGACCACGTGGCTTGGTCTGACCTCGGTGAAGTTGGCTTCGACGAAAAAGGCTTAAAATGGAACTTGGTCGTTCCTGAATTAGTCCAGTGTAACTTAACGGACTGATAACTTTAACAAACAAAAGAAATAAAGAAAATAAAACAAACTGAAGGCAGATCGATGTCGCGGCACTTCAGGTGTGTAGCTTCAGGCGAACAAAGGCCTGTTTGTTTCGCTGGCCGAGTCTGGGAGTGTTGCCTGACGAGGCACGCTACGCGCGTGCCGAAGCATCCAGAGGGCCGAGTGGAAGAGCGAGAAGAAAGAAGAGTGAAGAGAGCGAGCAGGTCGCGTGTCGCTCTTTTGTTGCCTGGGGCGTGGTTCCCCAGGGGGCGTCTCAGGTTTCCCCAGGAACTGCCTTTCTAAACTTAATGTCTAAAGAAAATAAATCTATTTGCACATATTATAATCAAATATTTTCCACAATCGAACCTCAATGGTTGAACGGTTGTACTGTTCTAGGCATTTGGTAACAGGAAACAATTGTCACATTATTGGTCAGGATATTTATACATTTAACAGCATTTCCGACGAGGGCATGTAATACTTATTTCGCCCACTTGGGGGAGCTCAGGTTACATGAGGAAAGCTTGGATTAAATCAAAGATCGGCTCTCCTTAGGAACCGGGGAATATTGTTGATTCATCCTTAAATTCAAGCTGGCGATTAAGAGTATAGTAAAACATTTCTTTGTCATCATTTCTAAAGGGATTTTGTAAGAAAGTATTATGAACAAGCATTGATTACATTAGATGAAGGAGTGTAGTGCTGAAAATAAAAACACTGCACAAGTAACTTCTTTTCAGCACTAATATCAACAACAGATAGCAACAACAGTTAACATAACTACTCAAATAGAGGCAAACGTAATCAGGTAACTAAAGATTTAATTAAATTTAATTAGATGCTTTGAGTCTTTTGGAGACTGCAGTCCTTTTACATTGAAAGTTCAGTATCCTGGACAATGTCACACTTAGGTGAGACAAGGAGTATCCCTTTGATGTGGTAATAAAACAAAGAATAAGGTCAGTTGCTACGGAAACGTGTGTGGTGGGGCCAGTTTTGATAGGCAGTTCAGGGAGATGCCAATGGCTGGCTCGTGTCCCTTTGTCAGTTTAACAGTCAGGCCCCGCGTTATCAGCTTCGGAATCAAAAAGGTGCCAGTTTTATGGTCGGGCTAGCACTTAGAGAAAGCAACTTTGACCCTTCCCCTTCTTCTCTGGGGAGGAGAAAGGAATTTAGGGTAGCTCCACATTTATTCCATGTAAAATGCACAAATCCACCCTGTAGTTCACTACAATATATATGTATATATATATATATAGCTTTACCCTGTTTAGCAATGCTCAGTAAAGCTAGCTCACACATACCACACAATTAACTATTAGCATGGACATTGTGACAACATTAGACTTACAGAACAGGTCCTATCAGTTACCTGATCACGTTGGGAACGAGTGTACTGCATAAGTTTATAACACAGACAGTAATATTAACGGTATTAAAGTGTTCCTCGTGGTATAGTGCTCGGGAGTCCCCCTTCCCTTGTAAAACAGAAACTAAACCACGGTGGCTGCGGAGGGTCAATAAGCCTCAAGACGATGGCAAAGCAAAAGATAACACGAGCGCCCTCTGCTGGCGAACATAACTCACTCTCTTACATATAAGCATACAGTGTTTGGTCTGAGTGACTGCTTCTGTTAATCTTGTTCTTGCATTACGAGGATAGAGTAGTGTTACTGACAACCATGACAACAGACCGGCAGCAAAGAAGTCAAAGAGATAAACTGAGATAAATCAACTCGTTTTACCAGTCAGACTCAGTCATAACCATAGACTGTATAAAAAAATGGACGTATTATCCGTGACGTCACCTGTTGGTTTCTGAAGAGCAGTTCTGAAGCCCAAGCGCGTCAGTCCCGGATAACCAAAAATGGGCAAAGAGGCGGGATCGTGGGTGGAGCTGAGGTGACGTGTTGCTGAAACCACTCCCGCCCAGCTCGACGTGAAAGAGTTAGTTCAAGCTAAGGAGCTAATGCTATTTGCTACTCTGCATTAGCAGAGGTAGCTTCTACACCCCCAGTGCAGTATGGTGGAGGTTGGAACCTGTGGCCGTGTTGTTACCAGTTTATGGTCAAGGTAAGACACCGGAAATATTAAGCAAATCAATTAACCCTTTTACACAACGTTAGTTACTTATTTGGATGACACCGGATTGTTTTTTGTATTACTTGTATTAAACATAATACGTTAGCGATAGAGTCCTTAGTCACATGATGGAAGCTGTAATTTGGAAAACGTTAGTCATGGATGTTATCATGTTAATTTATTCTTGCTGACTTGTCTTTCACTCCTTAAAAGCTGCGGTTAGAAAACACTAACTCCCGTTAACTTAGCATCATTAGCAGCTTGGGGCTGCTCATATCTGGCTGATTAGCGTAACAAGCTAAGTTAACAAGCTATATGTCGACAGCGATACCTGTTAAATATTGTTTACACATATATAAAATACAAGAATTTCACTCACCAACTGGAACTCGGACTTCATGGAGGTTCTCTCTCCAATAAACCACACAGCCTGCCGTTATTCATCTGGTATCTGCATGTAGAAATGTCCAAAAGGCTCAAACAGGCTGAGCCTCTGAGCTCTGTGTATTGGCTGAGTGAGGCTAACAGATGACAGTCACTCAGCTAGGAGTGACAGCGACCAGAGCCGCCTGTCAATCAAAGCGGCCACACTCCTAATAATGCAGAACTTTATAGCTTAATATAATTTAAACAGGTGAGTTATTAAAAATTGGCAATATGCACTTAAACCATTTTTTGAACCAGGCTGTATACATGTTTTATTCTGCTGTAAAGTTGGGCATTTTAACATGGGGGTCAATGGAGATTGAATCCCTCCTGCAGCCAGACTCAAGTTGCCACCGGATGAACTGCAGGCTTTTTGTCTTCTGGAAGTCTGCCGCTTGGTCATAACACTATGTATAGCCTTTAATGTTCACCCAAAGTAACAGATTAGCCAAGTAGCCTTAATCAAATTAATAAATTGATTTATAAGTTAGACAAATGAATCATTACATAGGCATAAATAACAGCATTCTAAGTAATAATGTATGGTTAAGAGGCAGAAATACGACAAGTATGGATTATGTTCAACATTTAGGCTACAATATTTGTTAAAATAAGTTTAGCTATCCTTAAAATGACAGTTCAAAAACTCGAAGGCAACTGGTCTCTATTTCTGATTTACACTTCAATTTTCATTGTGAAAGTTGGATAATGGAACAAGCCGACGCTTTGGTGCGCTTAATTGCATTGCACGTCTTCATTCAATGCGACAATAACACAGCATAGTGTTAACATCGTTTAGGCAGCATCGGCTCTGGAAAAATGAACTCACACTGTTCAATAAACATTTGCTTTAGCGCAAGTAGGACAATGAAATTAGGAAATACTGTCTGTTTTCATTGTACAATGTGAACAAATGATGAATTATACTTCATGCACGGACCTTCAAGGAAGTACTTTCTTTTAAAGTCATCTAGTATTTCTTGTAATACATTAACAAACTGCATTCAAGACACACCTAGATTTGCTAAAAACATGCTCTGGTTAAATTGTGTAACCTAGATAAATCTTACAGTGTTTCTCTTGGAACCCTAAATGGGTACGCTGTTAAAATAGGAACACCCAATCCCTGAGGTATGCATGTTTTCCTCATTTGTGCGGTGTTTATAAAAGGTGCAGTATCATCATCACGGAACACTGATCCACAGTCCTTACCTGATCATCATGATGAAGCTGATCCTTTCTCTGACTCTCATCTGGGCGCTCTCCAGCACAGGTAACTCCACTTATTATCACATTAGAGTTTCTGCAGGAAGCAAAATTTAAAGGTTGGAAGACGTTAATTTTGCCTGAAAGCTTTTTTTTGTTGTTGAAAAGATTAAAAATATTAACAGATTATTATTTTTAAATGAACCAGAACCGAAACTTTTAGACTTTATTGATCCTACTGAAAAAAGATTGGAAATAACTACTGTTTGTAACAGCCATTGTGTCTTTTTAAATGCTTCTGCACAACAAGAAGAAAAACATGTTTCAACCTTTATAGATCATCAAAACCTGTAACCCTAAACTCATCAGACGTTTCATTTGACTTGTGATGTGATCACTGAGTTGTCAATTTTTCTCCCCATTGCAGCTGGAGCCCTTCAGTGTCTAAGCTGCCAAAATGATCAGTGTACAAACCCACCATCATTAACATGTTCTTCAGAGACCATGTGTGTGACAGCTTCGATTCAAGGTAATGTTTTCTTCATGTGATCTCTTACTTTTCAGTGAAATACATTCAATGCCAGTTATGTGTTCTGACTTCCAACATTAACAAACTGCACTTTGATTTTGTAGTTTCTTTTGTAGTTACAGTCCCACAAATCATCAAGACCTGTGCACCATCCTCCGAATGCCCAGCTACAGGCTCTCAGGCATTTTCATTTAACGCGGGTGTTTTGCAGGCAGTTGCATCTCTTCAGTGCTGCGACACAGATAACTGCAACACAGAAACTCTACCTTGTAAGTCCAAATTGATAAGTAGCTCATTTAATTTAAGAAAAGATACTACATAAAAAACAGAACAAAGAACACTGGCCTCCTGCGATCTACTGACACTTTCTACTTTCACTTTGTGATACAAATGTTTTCTCTTCCTGTCGTTCTTTTCTGTTTCAGTCCCTCTTCCTCAGCCAAACAGCCTAAAGTGTTTCACTTGTGACCCCCTCATTTCTCAATGCAACTCATCTCAATTACAATGTAAGGGAGCGGAGGACCGCTGCTTTAAAGTGAATGGTGAGTCTTTCTGATAAATAATTCACCATAGTTTGTCTCCACATGGGTTGTGAGGTCATTTTGAGGTGTGGAAAATCAACCAGTGGTGGAAAGTAATGTTGAGATATTGGTACTTTTACTTACATTTATATTATATTTTATGTTATACATCTAATTCATTCAGGGACGTGCACAGACATTTTGGTGGGCAGGGGCTCAAGTGAGAAAAAATAGTATTTTTTTAAACAAGACAAATATATTAACTCATTTTTTGACTCACATTTTTACTCTTCTACATAATAATCAGTTCACACAGAGACCACGGTCTTCTTTAGTATTCACTAGGTTTATCACAGGAGCAGGCGACCGCAAAGCAAACTATGCCACAATGTGCATGTTTTCTATGCTACTAGTATATATACTACTATATATATATCAAGTATATATTTATGACTTATTTTATTAATAATTTGTTTATTTTTCACAATTATTTTTGCCAATAAATTGTTTCAATTCTATTGGTGTTATTGGAATACATAACAATTCACATAAATCTTCACACTAAACTGTGGCATTGGGCTGCAGGCATATTTAAAATAAATACTTTTACATTTTGTTTCACAAGCCAAATGAGTAAAGATACAACAGAATACTGAATTGCCTGAATACATTAATGTATTGATCAAATACTTAATTATTGTTGCTATTATATTACATTTACCATGCACATGCATGCGCACACACACACACACACAATTACTGATGGTGACGTGGACTTAGTTTTACATTTGAGGGAGGGCTGTCTGTTATATATAAGGATCTATCAGCATACAACAAACTAATAGAATGGAGAGTTATTAGATGAAGAGCCGACCATCAAAACTATGAAGTTTCATGGAGTGGTCTATTTTGAGACTTTGGTCTATTTTGCTTCCAGGTCTTCTTCTACTCTAACGGAAATAAAGCTTCAAGAATACACCTTTACATGGTGTTGGTTTTAAGCCTAATACCCTCGGTCTATTTGCATCTGTAGATTTATTCTATATCAACCAAAACAAGCTAATCTGCATATTTCCACAGCACATTTCAGAGGAAAATAGCCAACTCTTGATGTAAGTCATTAACTGAGGAAGTTCAGTTGGCTATTTGCCTAATTTGCATATCAATGTGGCGATTGTGATGACGTTATTAGACACAAATGTAACTGTGTTCACCTGTGGTGTCTCCATCAGTACATTAGGTTTTAAGGCCATGAGATATTGCCTTAGCTAAACTTCAGCTAACTTATTAACTAGCTCAGCTCATGAGTCATGCGTTGAGGCACTGGTAGTTTAGTGCTGAGAGAGAGAGAGAGAGAGAGGGCATCGGAACTCCCCAACAAATATATTTGTTTGACAGGGAATCTGTTGCAAACAGGAATAAATATACTGTATATTCTTTTATTTAAAAAAAAAGCATCCCAGAAAAAAGGGCACTTTCTCTTGAAGAGGAAAAAGGGCAGGTGCTGAAGCCCCTTTGATGTCTATGTGTGCACGTGCCTGAATTAATTACATTTCAAAGGTAATTATTGTAGTTTCACTGCACTACATTTGTATGACAGCTATGGTGGCTAGTTAATTTACGGATTAAGATTTTATGTTTTAGATCCAACAATCCCTACTACTAATATAAGGGTGCTTTCACACCTAGACCTTTTTACTTTGTTCAGGAACAGATACTTTGTTACGAATCAATTTGAATACATCACATGTGTTCACACCGCAGTATTGTAAAGCATCACTGACCGTCTGTGAACAGTTCGTGATCGTTGCCTCTGGCTGGTTGAATATTCCATGATCCGTGCACTACTGCAGTTGGTGGCTCTCCGCAGCGCCACGCAACTTTCTAAATTCTTCCCTCTCACGGGATAAAGAAAGGTCAGGTCGCAAACACAGCCGCAGCGGTTGTGCTGTTGTGTGAAGTCTATTGTTGACAAGCAATCTTTTGGCATGGGTTTCCAGCCAACACATTAATTTGTTCCGGTTCATGGGTCAGCTGTGTTCTCACTGCCAATGAACCGCTCCAGGGTTCCTATGGAATCGAGCCGAGACCACCTCTTGTTGGCGATCTCAGCTCGTTGTTTTGTTCCGAGTGTGATTGTTGTGTTCACGTATTACCAAACGAACCGAGTCAAAGGGGAAACACCCCCTTGTTTCGGAACAACGTCTCCAATCGATCCAGTTCCATCCTGACCAGTTACGCAACAGTAATTAAAAGCTCACGCAATTGACATTTTTCACATGCTGTGATGCCACACATCAATTCTCACGCAGTGAAAAACAGAATGTATGTATAACTGATAAAGTCGACTCACTGAGCGAATTAACTCTGCCCAGCTGATGCGACACTGGCGTATGCTGTGATAGTAATCAAGTAAACCTGCTCTGCCTGTGAGTCCAGATGGTTCGGTCTGAAGAGGAAACTACCATATGAGCAGAGCAAGAATGTAAAAAATATTATGAAACTGAAGTCTTGAAATATTACACTTTTTTCTCGACATGTCACAGATATGTGGGAGAGATTTATCATTGAGGTGAAAAGGTGCCACATGCACATTTAAAGAGGTTACTTCTCCAAAGAAAAGACACAAAAAAGAGGGAAGACTAAATCATGCCTACATGTTTGTTGACTCAGCAGGGATGATATTACATGAGAAAAGTTGATCTACAGGAGAAACCAGATCTGTAAGCAACACAAAATACCCAAGAGCTGCACAAAATTTTATTCTGATATGGTTTTAAATTTTGAATTGTCACCTGCCACCTAAATTTTGTTTCTTTTACATAAATAAAAACATTTCCACCATACATTGGTGCTGAAAAATTCACCAGAACACAGGAAATGAAGTGTTCTTTGTGAATTTTCATATAATTCAGCATTGGAGAGTTCTTAAAAATAGCATTAAAATCTTGTTTCGTTCTCGTGAAAACAATCACATCTATCTATCAACCTAATCTAAAAATCTAATATTCTTGTCCCATTACAGTATGGCTTTAGAAAATATAACACCACATGTATGACGATTCTCTCTACTGATAAAGGTGACTGCGGATTTGACACCATTGACTTCCTTTAAACCTTCAAAATGACTATGGTGGATACATGACTTTATGCATGCAGTTACCTTTAAATACAAACAAAAGAAATTCCAAAATCTTCCATTCTAATAGAAATTGAAATAACATTGACCATGTTTGTGTCAAAATAAATGGTAGAGCTATTAAGAGTTCCCCAAATTCCTGGGGATACATATCGATGGGTTTGAAAAAAATGTCCAAATATGTTATTATTTTTCAAATTGAGACATTTTCTTCCATTCAAAGCAATCATAACTTTATACAGGTCTTTATTTGAGCCTCACCTAAATTACTGTAATGTCATATGGTACAATACTTGTTGGAGTTACCCAATGAAAGGACAGATTTTACAGAGGAAAGTAATACGTGCCATTTCATGGTCCAAGATAAATGCTCCCATGGCGCAAAGATTGTTTATGAGGTGTGATGGCAATTCAAGTTTTCAAATAAACAGCTCAGGCAAACACTTGTCTTTCTGTGAATTTTAATCAGAGAGTATCATCCGAGTGAGCTGCAGTGTAACGGCTCATGCAGCTTTTATCTTAGTTTCAGGGTCGGAGTACTATATTAGAGGAACATGGCGTCTTTCAGTGTTCCCAAGGGGACATTCATCTATAGAAAGACACCCATGTCCAAGGTACATGTGGTGAAAACCTTAACGTCCTGACCCCTCTGGACAAATGTTAAAGCATCACACACATTTACCTTCCATTGACCCCATACCCAAGAGGCTGGAGGCCCCTAGTGAGATTGGTTACATGGCAGTGTTTTCTTGAAATTTCCATTACAGAGGTTTATGTAGCTCCACTCTGTACGACTGCAAGTTTTTCTGTAGTTCCAACAAATCCAATAGATTAATGCTCTTCTAACTGATTTCATCACGTCAGGTTAAAGAATTGCATCTCAACCTCATATTAATAATTCAAGCTTTTATACGTTTAATTAGGAACTTCAGTATTTGGATAAAGAACATCTTGAAAAATAAAATGCGTCAGATTTAGTAGCTGTCAGAAATCTATTTAATCAACATTTAGGTGAATATAAGTATCAGATTTGGTGGCAGATACTCAGTATTAAAGGACTTGGATAGAAATCAGGACCAAAAACATGTAATGGTGTAATTGTACATTGTAATATTGTTACTTTAACTTGTGTGAAGGATCTGAATACTTCCTGAAGTTACTTAACAAAAATAATGTATCTATAGTAAAACATTGGGTTTTTTTTTTATCTTCAGTGACGATTGGAGACAAAACTTCTCTGTTCTCTGGCTGTGCATCTGCAAACCTGTGTGCACTTGGTGCCAACCTGAGTAGCCTACCTCTCTTGCAAGGTTTTGGTAACATCAGTAAACCATCCTGCTGTGAGACCAGTTTGTGTAATGCTGTTACAACAATTGCCAGTGACGCCGGCTGTATGAGTCTGCTGCTGGGAGTCCTCATCTTTACCCTCCGTTTTTTTGAAGCCTGATTTTGGGTTTACTGCTCTCTTACATCTGAAGTTGGCAGTTAGTGGGACTTTGTGGGACACAAAGGCAGCAAAGAAATAGACACACAAACACACATGTACACACAACAGAGGGGATACTACCTTTTTCATGGCTTTAATTTGCTGGGTACATAATCAAAAAAGTTCATAGATTTTTTTAATCAAACCTGATTGAATGCTGTAACATTATATTAAAGTTGACGTTTTGTTGCAAATTGTTCAATTATATTACTTCATTTTAGAAAAATACTAATATTTGATATTAATGTAAGATTCAATATGAGAAGGAAAAAAAATTGTCATTATTGTACACATCCTTTATTATTGTTTAACCATTTTTGTATCTTACTATCAATTTTATATTTATGATTGGTGATCTGCAGCATTACCTCTGTCTTTATCTGTCTTATATTTTTTTTTACTATGTTTATGGTTAAGCACCAAAACACCAAAGCTAATTCTTTGCATGTGAACCGACTTACCAATAAAGCTGACTTTATTTAAAACAAAATATGTCTTTATGACTTTATTTCATTCTTGTGTTATTAAAATAATATATTAAAATTTTAAATAAAATAAGTTGATAAAACAGTAAACGTGTGTATATTAATAAACAAAAAATATAAATAAATAAATAAATCCGTATCAACTGTGAAATTTAAAAACAAAAAAATTACTAAAATATCAAACAATCAAAATAATAATAATTTGAAAATAAGTACAATTATTTATCAGTTTCCACTGGTTGTCCTCACTTCATGGCATGAGGAGACATATTTTGCAGCAATTATTTAACATCTGGGCATTTCTCTCAGTAAATAGGGGAGTTTCTGTGTGTCTGATATAAATTTGAATTTCTTGGTATATTTGGGAAATGTTTACAAAATTTTTTTAGTGTTTTAAATTTAGGGCATTGTTGGATCAGATGTACGACCAGGCTGGGCCAGTTAAGCCTGTTCTCCACCTTCACCAGCTTTATAAACGTTGTCAAAAAATACTCCATTAACTTTCTACTATAATCAATAAGTTTGGAATCAAAAACTTCTCTGGAGACGGTCAAGAGTCGGTGCAAAAGAGTTTATTCCAATACAGGACAGATAAACCCGTACAACATCCCTGCAATCCTGTGGTCTGCAGACAGCCTTAATTATATCCCCCTCTGGGCTGGTTTGCCCCCTCCTTTCCTTATGGTGAACCTCTTATCCTCTGCTTTTATGCTGCTTGAACGTACCAATTAACAATGTTTTCCAGCTGTCATTCATTACTGTGTTGTTGATTTTCTATATTTTTACATTAGTGGATAAGAAGTTCTCCATTATGTTTTCAACTTCAGTTTCACCGTCTTTTTTAAAAGTTATACATGCACACAATTACATTACTTAAAAGTGAATACAAGAATAACATATGTAATGCTGTATCTTTCATTAATGCTTGGTTTGTTACAGTAATCTTGATGTTATGCTGGCTGTTTTCTACTTTCTGCTTATCTCTCTGACGCCTTTTCTTAACCCACTCTCTGACGCTTTTTATTCATAATTTCTTACCTCTCCTGCAGCCATAGTACAAGTTCACTCAAAGCTCACAGAGGCTATAAGCATCAGAGGTTGGAAGTTGACAATCAACCCCTTAATCAGTAATTAAACATGTAGTCTTAATATTAGCAGATTAACACATCAGCAGTTCCTCATGTAGTCATAACAGCAGTAGATAATGTCGGGTCGGAAATAAGGACCGGCCGGGCCAGTGAAAGACCCTAACCAACGTAATAAACTCAATAAAATTACTCTATTAGATTTCTTCTTTAGTCAAAAAACTGCGTAGTCAAAAACTTCACTGGAGACGGTCAAGAGTCGGTGCAAAAGAGTTTATTCCAATAAAGGACAGATAAACCTGAGCAACATCCCTGCAGGTCTCAGGATGGAACCGAGTTGGTGGTCAGCGAACATCGGCTTATATTCACCTTAAGCTCCACCTTGTCCCTCCCTTCAGGTGGGCGTTACATCTTAACTCCTCCTTATCTCCTCCTTCTAGGTGGGCGTTACACCTTAACTCCACCTTAACTCCTGCCGTCTAATGGCCTTTTTCTTGTACTGTTTTACCAAATTAACCCTTTCATTAATGTTACAATTTCCACTTTTTAGCTATTATTATATGTAATTATTGTTACCATTTATCTCTCTTTATATTTTTTACATTACTGGATTAGAAATCCACCAATATGTTTCAACTTCAGTCCCACCGTATTTTTTTAAAAGTTATACAGGCATAGTTTGACTCCATTAAAACTTAAACACTTACAATCGTATTTTTTAAAAGAATTAATAAGGAGTAACATATTTAATACATGTATAACGTGATTCAATGAACAAGTACATGATTCAACAATGCCAACCATGAGGGTGCTTTGTCTCATACAAGTTTAGTGTCGGCAGCGCAAAGCTTGGTTTCATGCAGTACCTGGCCGTACCCTGCAGTACCAGGCACCATAAATCACAACGTGTCATGATCTCATTCTTGGGCTCAGTTCACGATGATCTCAGGCCTGGCGTACGTGACTTACAGCAGGTGCCTTGCTTCCATTGTGTGGGTTACGGTTGGCTAGGTTTTGCCTGCGCGGCCTGAGCAGCTTCTCTGCTCATGTAGGCACATTGAAAAAGCACACGTTCACAGAGTATAAGAATAATATATGATAAACACACAGAGTATAAGAATAAAATATGAGTTTGAACACACTCATTAAACACTCAGTAGTTAAACACTCAGTAGTTAAACTTTACACTATAAAATAACACTTTAAATGATGACAATGTAGACCACCATTGCTCTAGTAATTAATGATAACAATTTAGGCTATAATGCTCCAAAATAATTCACAACAATAACAGTAGACCAAAGCATGCACTTGTCACAGCAGATTTTGAACACCTGCAGCCTCTCCTGCAGTCATAAATCTACAGTTGAACAAGGCATGCATAATCTGCAGTCAATACTCCCTCTCAAGGATCTTAACCACAGTGAGCCTGTTTCTACAGTTCAGCACATCTAGGTTGCAAAGATTAAAAAGTAAGTAAGGACGATAATGACTAATACTAATTAAGGATAATAAAATGATTAAAAATGATGAATTAAGTATTAAGATTATGATTAATTAAGAATGATTAATGATTACTACTGATTAAAGATAATCACTGATGTCTGTTGTTTGTCTGCACTGCTCCCTCTCTCTGTGTCCTAGGCATGCTGATCATGCTATTTTAACCATAACCTGACTTTGTGGAATAAGCTGGTGTCTTTTGTGGTGTGCTGTGAGACAGGACATTCTTACTGTGATGGACTAAATTGATGTATGTTTTGTAACACAATTTTGACTAATTCCGCTTCTAGATTTTCCTTAACTGGTGTTTTTGATGCTGCCTTGCTGTGTTTCCTCACTCTGCTCCCAAAGCACACGAACTTGCTCACACACACACATGTGCTACTGCTGAGCCTGGGCAGCTAGATACAGAAAGGAGCACATACACTCAGAGCTGTAGAGTTTTAACACTGTGATCCTAACTTTACACTATAAAATAACACTTTAAATGATGACAATGTAGACCACCATTGCTCTAGTAATTAATGGTCTAAAATTGTTCACAACACTCCCTCCTCTGAGGCTGTAAAGCCTCACACTTTATACACCAACACTGTGACCACTGAAAGTGGGTGACCTATTGTATTTGGCATATGAAACCTATTTCTCAGACTTGCAGACCTTCAAGAAAATACCCAAATAATTGCAGCTTCTCTCCGCATCACAAGAAGCGATGAAACGTCGCTACGATCGCTCTGCTGTCCCCCGCCATTTCCAAAGAGGCAATAATGATTTGTCGTAGCTACCTGTTCCTGGTTCTGTCCTCTCCGCCAAGTTCTCTGGTCCCTATGAGTTCAAGAGTGTTTAAGTAACACAGATTATGTGCTTAGTACCCCTGAGAGGCGGAAGAAAACTAGGGTCTGGAACTGTACTTCCTAACTCCGAAGCCGTCAGCCCTGCCATGCAAGAACAGGGATACCATGGTCCTTAAACCAGGTACTGGTAGCTTTGGCACTGTGTGCAGGTGCTAAGTCCTGTTGGAAAATGAAATCTGCATCTCCATAAAGTTGGTCAGCAGCAGGAAGCATGAAGTGCTCTAAAACTTCCTGGTAGACGGCTGCGTTGACCTTGGACCTCAGATAACACAGTGGACCAACAGCAGCAGATGACATGGCACCCCAAACCATCACTGACTGTGGAAACTGAATGGGTTTTGTTTCACAATCCTCTTCAGGGTGCGGTTATCCCTATTTGCTTGTACACTTTTTTCTACCACATCTTTTCCTTCCCTTCGCCTCTCTATTAATGTGCTTGGACACAGAGCTCTGTGAACAGCCAGCCTCTTTAGCAATGACCTTTTGTGTCTTGCCCTCCTTGTGCAAGGTGTCAATGGTCGTCTTTTGGACAACTGTCAAGTCAGCAGTCTTCCCCATGATTGTGTAGCCTACAGAACTAGACTGAGAGACCATTTAAAGGCCTTTGCAGGTGTTTTGAGTTAATTAGCTGATTAGAGTGTGGCACCAGGTGTCTTCAATATTGAATCTTTTCACAATATTCAAATTTTCTGAGATACTGATTTTGGGGTTTTCATTAGTTGTCAGTTATAATCATCAAAAATAAAAGTAATGAACACTTGAAATATATCAGTCTGTGTGGAATGAATGTATACACATTATACAGGTTTCACTTTTTGAATGGATAAATAACTTTTTGATGTTTTCTAATTATGTGACCAGTACCTGTGTGTGTGTGTGTGTATATATATATATATATATGAATGGAGTGAATTTCTGTTCACTCCAATGGACCAGTTTTTCACAGCAATTGAGGATCATGGTGCGTCTGAATAGTTCCCGGAAGAAATAGAATAGAAAATGCTATTTGGGATGCATGTTTAAAAGGTAAGACGTGTAAAAAATGAGTTTATATATATTAGCAAAACTCAATCAAGTCAACAAGTGCATTAAAGCATGCTAGTGGATTTCTCCCACTATATTAGAAGATTTATATTAACGGTTAACAAATTAATTATGACACTGGCAATGGATAGTAGTAGAAGTTAGCAGCACACAATATATTTTTTACAGTTATTTCTTTGTGGAAAAAGTACCTCACATATTTCTTGTTGCTAGCCTCTTTAAGGATTGTAAAGTTGCTCCTGTTGACCTGAGTCAACCATTTTTCCCTCCTATCCATGTCAGCTGGGAAACCAAACATTCGGACTCCTTTTTCTGACCGACATGCTGATCCACTTCAACACAGCCACTATACAGTCTGTCCTCTGCACCTCCATAACTGTCTGGTTTGGATCTGCCACCAAAAAGGACAAGGACAGACTACAACGTACAGTCGGGACTGCAGAAAAACTCATCGGTGCCAACCTGCCCTCCATTCAGGACTTGTACATTTCCAGAGTCAGGAAACGGGCAGGAAACATC